AAGGGGGCGGGGGGACCCCTCAGCCTCAGTGGCGCCGGAGGACGAAAGTCAGCGGGATTTACCGGGCGTGGTGCGCAGCCGGCTCTCGGCATCCCGCGGCTGTCCCGCAGCACACACCGCTCACATGTGTTGCTCTCCAGCTCCCGAGGCCGCTCCGTTTCCAAAGAGAGACCGCGTGAATTCTACATCTAACCGGGAAATTCAGGCTCCTCAGTGGCAGGGAGGCTGCGGAGGGTCGGAGCGAAGCACCCCGACCAGGAGCTGGGCACAAGGAAGGAGCGGGATGGACAAGCAGGCTCCCTGGGGAGTGGAGTCTTGCAGGTGTCTTTCTGAAAACTCCTCCAAGTTTTCAGGACAGCTGCTGAGGCCCTCAAGGATGCTCTGACATCATTTGCACGGGAGGGAATTAATAGTCATGCCAAGACCAACTGAGATAATGCCTATACGGTGGCATAAATGAGAGCAAAATCTGGCTTCGCTAGTTTAATTGGAGAGCGACTTACCTATGGACATCACGTACTCTGGAATCAAATACTGGGGAAATGCTGTCTGGCTGCGACACATTTCCTTCCGTGGACACTGTGGAAGGAAAGGCTCGGCTGGCTTCTGGTGCACTTGTCTCCTCCACTATGATTTTTTTTGGCCAGATGACTTTACTGTCGGTTATAAATCAGTGATGAGCACTGTGAAGAGCAGATGGGGAGTTTAATGCACCCTCTGCAGCTCAGTCTTGTGTCTGGCTAATGTCCATGTGCCGTTCTGAAAAGGATGTTGGAAAAGGTTGTTCTTCATTTTAAATTGCTCTTTGGGAGCTGCGCAGTTCATAATGTGCTGCAGAGGCACTTCTGTGAGGTGTACTTTCTTTGATGTAGTCTATACAGTTTCAGTAGAAGAGTTACTTGGGATGTCATGAAACAAAGTCAGTTTTGGAGGAACAAGACATATGAATAAGTAATAAAAGACAAATCATAAAGGGAAAATCATTCCCAAGGAATGAAACATATTCCTTCTTGATAATGACTGTGAATGCAGTGGCATACAAAAGAGATGGGTTTGTCTTTCAAGGATCAAAAATGCCCTCTCCATATTTCACCTATGAAAAAGGAAGTCAATGTTTTTGTGGGCTTGGGGTGTTTTTTGTTTAGGTTTGGCTTCTCAGGGTGGAAAGTCATGTGTATGGCGTATGAACACAAAGAGACTAGAGTATCAGTTACTTCTATGATAGCCCTAACCTGAAAGGAGATCACTGGCTCAGTTCAACTTGCACCCACTGCAGAAAAAGTCACATTTGACAGTGGACTTGCTGATTACATGAGCTGTTGTGGCAATAACACAAAAAACCCTATTGAAACTGTAAGGAAAGAAATATTGTAGAGAGACACCTACTACGCTACTGGTGATGATTAGATTAGAGATGAAGAATCCTGCTGAAAACATCAGAAAAAATACCAAGAATTTGCTATTCCCTTTCTTGTTTGTATGCTCAAACTAGAGGGCTTTTTGGTACAAGTCCTGTGTCTGGGATGTCACTGGATATAAACAGAGACAGATGGTGGATTAAAGTTCTCAACATTGATTTTGTCATATAGATAGAGGACCAGGTACAAAACTTTGACTCTTGGAAAAAAAAAAAAAAAAAAGCAGCCAAGATAAATGCTTCTCTTATAGCTCAATTATTTCAGCAGTAGAATTGCAAGCTAGAACAGAGCAAGAATTTCCCCCTGAGGGTCAAGCGGGAAGAAGAGAAGGAAAGGCAAACTCAACTGATCTTGAAGTGGCTGCTAAACCAGGCATGCAGTTGTTAGCACTGGCCAGAAAAAAAAAGATGCTTTCTAAAGAAAACAAATTGTGATCCCTTGGACTTTTCTCACTTTAGTGGATTTTAGTTCAAAGCCTAATCCACTGAGGAATGAGGAATTTCCTACATGCTTCCTACTGATGAATCTGTTTATTCCACAGCATCAGGCATAGTCTCTAGTAATCCTTGGCTCTGGCAGAAACTCAGAAGTCAGATCCAGATCTATTCAGTATGTCTCACAATCGCAACCTATGTAATGTAGGTTAGGTTGTATCATCCTAGCTACAAAAAGCTACCAGTACTTCAGCAATGAGTGGGAATTCATTTTTGCAGCTGTGCTCTGATTTTTCACTCTTTTCCTGAATAAAGCACATCTCAAAGGGAGGTGAACAGCACTGCTAGAAGAGGGTACGCATTTGTTCAGCAGAGAAGGGGGCAGAAAGGCTTTTGGAGGTCACTGATATTTCCTGATGGTTTTTTAGCTTGGGTTACATCACTGATGTCCTGCCGCTCTTTGTGTCTTGTTCATTTGCCGTGAGCTGCTCAGTGACATCGGTTAAAGCAACACCAGAGGAGTTGTCAGCAAAATCATGCCTCTTGCAGTCAACTTCGGTGGCTGCGTCAGGACCTCATGCAGAGGCCATGGTAGTGGGAAGTGCTGCAGCTCCAGAGTAATTAACTTGTTCTTTTATTGCTCTTCCTCCTTCTCGCTTTCTGTGCAAACAGCACAGTATGAGCTGGCCTTTCCTCAGGACAGTGTCTTTCATGCAAAATGCATCTCAAAATGTTTTGCAAAGATAAAATGTTCCACTAGAGCACTGAACAGAGGAAGAGAAACAGTAAGACAGAAAAGATCTTTTTGGAGAAGGTTTAAAAAAAACCCCAACAGTAAAGCATAAAAATGCATGCATGGAGAGTCTTCACATGGTGAGAATACAAAAAAGTCCTTACAAAGCCACTTTTTGGTGTTTGTTTTTGTTTGGGTTTTTTTGGTTTTTTGTTTGTTTGTTTGTTTGCTTTGGTTTGGGTTTTTTTATGCAGCTACAGGCAGTTAAGTACCGACTTTGCCTTGGAGTCAGAGCGGCAGTTTAAAGGCTCTGGATGGATATGGTTGCCTCTGAGGTTCTGGTCTGGAAAGGGCACATTGAGGAGACATGGCTTGACTGATCCTTAGTCTGGTTGGGCCTCCAGAGCTCAGTGTCATTCCTGCTGCTACTAGGCTGTCTATGACATGGTAAGGCTTTAGTGGATTTAATGGCTTTTCTGCCTTAGAATACAGAAAATTATGGGAAAATTCATATTATTATTATCATTATTGTTACTGCATTGATAGTTCTTGATATGATTCCCTGTACCTGCTTGTACAGGGTCGTTAGGTGTTGGAGTAAACAAACAGCTTGATTCCCTCACTCTGCTGGAGCATCTGCCAACAGAGTTGCTATATCCATGCTATCTGCTTGGCTTAATTATGTCTTTTGTGCTTTAACATTCCTTCCAGGTGTACCACAGCTGGAGAAGCTTTGACTGAAGAAGCCCGTACAATCCTAGCCTTTTGTGAGCTTCTACAATGTGAAATGCACAATTTTCTCTGTTGCTATAAAATCAGTCAACAAAAAACTGTTTTATCCAAATTTCTCCCTTTATCTTTGTGGTTAGAATCCATACCTGGCTCTTTTTGTCCTCACCAAGAGACTGCAATTTATTTGTTGAAGTGTGTGGTTGGATGCAGCTCACACAAATTATGCATCAAACTGAGCCATATATTAAGGCTCTGAAGATGAATCCTTCTGAAATGCTTAGATTTACTTTGTTGTCCACAGAAAGTGGTAGGTGACTGTGAAAACCTCCAGAGGGAGTTCTTATTCATCTAAGTCTGAGCACATGAGTTAGGTGTACATGACTTTTTTTGATGGCCTTATAGCCATTTATCGTTCTCATTTTGAGTATTGAGGGAGCTTAGGGACTTCCTCAGAAAGAGCTGCTTCATTACACTCCTAAGATATAGGCACACAACAGTTAAATGAAGTAAATCTCACCCCAGAAAATCAAATCCTCATCTGTCCAGCTGAGATCATCACTTTAAACATATACATATAAAGAATGCAGGTCTACTAAGAGCCAGGATAAAAATAAAACCCTTTGCTATTTAGACAGATAGTCCTTTTCCCAGAAATTCTGGCTCTCCCCTCGTTCTTCACCAAGCTCCCAGGGGAAAGCAGTGAGTAGTGATGCCATCCTGAACCTGACCATGTCATTTTAGCACCTGGATTTGTACTCCGCTTGTGCTTTCAGCACATGTTTTGACTTGTACCTTTTTGTGAACACAGTGGCTAAAAGCTAATGAGTTTACAGGGTACATTTTCTGATACTGTAAAGGCTTCTGCACTACAATTTACATAAACATTACTATTTGGTAATGACCAACACTGTAAATAAGAAAAGTCTTTAAAGACTTATTGAGCCAATATTTAACTTCTAATTCCTCCATTACATAAAAGGTACTTGTTAATGAAAAGACCAGCTAAATTATTTTTAAAGCTCAATTCACTCCATCTTTAGAGGTTTTTAAAATACTGTTAGACCACTGTTAAACCTAGAATTCTCCAGATACCTCTAGTCTTTTTAATTACCTACAGTCATTATTAAGAGTTGTCACTGCAAAGTTCATTCATTCTCTCCATGCTTCCTACCACTCTACTTAGGAACTTCACCATCGAGCAACCTCAGGAGAGGTTATCTTTAATGAGAGCCCTATGGAATAATGGGCTATTCATTTCCCTGAATGTCACTTGTATAATATTAATATATTCACATGCTGATAAAAGGACAAGCACCTCATGCCCTGCTTATCCATGGCATGAAAAGCTGGCGTGGATCAGCTCTGTCTGTTAATAGTTAACATTTATCATAGAATCTTTTAAATGTTTATAAATCACCTCTGTTTAGGACATATCTGCAGTGGTGTACGTTAAGTACATGGATAATGTCCAAGGTCAGCTGGGGATGTCTTCTCATGTCCAGTGACTGCTGGTTCTTCTG